ACAAAATCTCTGAGACTGCCAGCCAGAGTCAACCCTGCGTTGCGCAGTTCGCAACGGCACGTTGAGAGATCCTCAACGCACGCTGTATGGGCGGAGACACAGACGGCTCGAGCATGCGAGTGTGAATGTTCGCGCGAGAGAACGTGTCTAATCGGGCGAAACTGCGCAACGTGGCCGTTGAGAACTGCGCAACGCAGGGTTGACTCTGCCCAGCCGCAGCCACTCAAATCAGGTGACAAGAACCCCGTATACTTGACGCACATAGTCCCGGTAACGGCGACGGGTTTCTATCCTTAGAAACAACCTATCCTACTTACGGAAAACATAGATCCACCTGGCTCCATTGCAGAATGTGCCAGGCACCGATATTGGACCACTAAAGTAATCCGTTCAGTGGATGGGATAGAGATGGTTGCAATGGTTACCGATGCGGCGTTCACATGACTAGAAAGTGCGCGACATGGACCCTGGGTCGTACCGATGCTTCCGAGTAGTGGTTTAACAGAGAATTGAAGCCGCATTTTTATTACAGCAGAATCCTCGCGATTGTATGAGGTTTTTTTATGACACAAGGTTGATACAAAAGTAAACGGAAGGAGGTCTTTACTCTCAGATCTTATAACTAAAAGCCTCGCGTCATACCAGATTTCAGGTTGCCACTTATATACCCCAGTTGGCGAGAGCTGATCCGGAAGCATTTGCGATCTCTGTATGCACTGTCGATGGCCAACGAAAGAGTTGGGGTGATGCCTTGAAGCCTTTTTGCCTTCAGGTGTGTCTATGTGTGTCCGTGCCCGTTCTGTGTAGTGGAAAAGTGCGTGACAGCACTGAGAATCACTGTTCAGTCCAATTCCAGCATTTTAATCGATCTGTGCTTTTCCTTGTATGTCTATATTTATTTACATTTTCCATATTAGCAAAATATGAATACCCATTTACCTATTCTGAGGTATCGTCTCTGAAACAAACAAAGTTGCCATTTTATGATAACCTTGTAGGGTTGGCACACAAGTGATAAGCTAGTACGACACGAATAGTTCATGAACGGCACACCATGAATCTAGGCATGATTATACAGATTCAGTTGCTTCGTTGGAGCCTTCGATATTGGGATTAACTTTATTTGGCTTACCGTTTTTTCTCCTCTGTCGAGAACAGTTTGTTGGGATCATATTAAGAATAGGGTGCTAACTTAGAGGAGGGGGGGACCATGCGGCTTCGCGACGGCGACCGTTACTATTTCGCCGCAGCGTGGCAGTTTCGAGATACACTGACACTGCAGACGAAGTCGTATTGTTAGGTGCAGAAGATCAGAGCACCGCGCTGCTGCTGGTCCCCCCTCAACTATGTTAGCACCAAGAATAGTCCATGAAGGTGCCTACTAACGCTATGCTTTTCAAAGGGCTGCGAGTGCACCAAAAAGTAAGCCGAATAAAGTTCATACCAATCTTGGAGGCTCATAAAGAAGCAACTGAAACAAGTGTGAGACCATGAGGAAACCTAGGCAAGTCAACAAATACAAAAGGCCGCGTGGTATCTTGATGACATCCTCTTTATGCCAGCACCAATTTGATCTCGCACCCATTACAGTCAGTTTCGAAACCATTTACGTACGCGTTGGTTCACGACGAAATCGGTCCGGATGACTTGCATACCTATGTTGGACAAGAGCCCAGCGGACGACTGTTCAATGATATTTCTCTCGATCACAATAGTGAGTTGTGTTGATGATTTTGGTTATGGTAATCTAGGCTTTCGGACTGATCCATTATTTGCCGCTGTCCATTCGCTCCATCATCGCACGTGACGTTCCAGAAAAGCCGCACAATCCGTTGATCAACCGCTGCGGCGATCGTATGGCATCTTTGATGAAGCGTAATGCATCACTATCGGACCGCTTTGACTTTGTGAGCTTACCAACAACTATTTCTCTCTCTTTCGTCTCTCACTCTTGAGCGAAAAAAAAATCTAAAAAGCCTTACAAACGTCTAAATGAGGTTGCTAGCAGATGAGAGGTTTCGCTGTACATTATTTGTCCCCGATTGTAGCAGTGTCATCCGTGACGTTCGCCACTTCTTAAAAATTTGCATAGGCAGGATTGCAATCTGCAGGGGACTTAAGGCGTTGTGCCAGGTGGTCGAGGTTGATCGGATTGGAAAGGTAAAGAAAACTTTTCGTCTCACAGGATAGCCTTGCTGGGGCGTTTCTGTCGCGCAAAGAAGTGCCGTTCCACAGTAGGCTTTAGCAGTTCAGGCTCTCTTGGTCACGAGAGCCGGTCAGGCATTTCGGTGAGACGGGCCCTTGCGGATTTCCGGCCTCGCCTCAAGCCCGTCGTTACGTAAGTAGAACCTATGTGCGAGTAGATAGTCAAATGGTATAACCGAAATAGCGCCGATTAATTGATATGACGTTTATTAGCTGCAATTAAATTGCTCCAAATTTCAGGCTATCCACCAAATGCGAAGATTTTGCGGTGCCGGCTACGTGGGTTTCAATAATGCTGTGTGAGATATCGCTCGGAAGTCTATGCAGTAGTGCCTTATAATTACTTGTTGAATATTAACAATTCAAGGTTCCTCTCTGACGAGAAACGGTCGATCGAAATTATGGCTGCTGTCTTCTATGATGCAGGCGGACAATAAGGTACACGGGCTTATTATTAACATACATTCTGAAGTCTTATCCGAAAAACACAATTAGGAGTTGATAATAGGATGTTGGTAGGTTAATGGATAATAGAATGCTTGTAGGGAGATTTAAAGCCACGGGTTTGGGATCAGGTACGAAGGAGTGTCCCCCAAGAGGCCCATCGCGCGGCGAAGGAAGAGACGCAGATGCGGCAAAGGACGAGTCGCAGCGCGTGCTGTGCGATATGAGACGTAGTATGGTCATTCTTTTAACACATTGACGACCGCGCGCGTTTTGGCTTTTTTGGCCGTGTGGGACCGGGCCGATTTTGCGAGTGCGACCGCCGCACCTCGGATCCGTGAATTTTTATTGATAACTTTTTAAAGCACCAGTGGTACAAAAACATCTCAGTAACAGTCAATGCGTAGAAGGTAATAGAGTATATAGTGACGAAGTTCCGATTAAAGAACATGTAATGGTAATGAAAAAGGAAATTTTAGTCATTTTATCTGTAGTGGATGCCAAAAGCTCTTTTGATGTGGTTATACCAAGTGAAACATGTATTTTTCTGTCTCTTTAGATTTGCATTTACTTTCACTACCCTTTTTACTTTCACTACCCTTTTTTATTGACGTGTTCATGAGAATAGCATGAAAACTATTAATGAACCAAGCCGCCGGTTTCGGTGAGCTTGGAAAACTTCTTCTAAACTGGAGCATATTTGAACAAACAATGACCTATGTCGTTCACAATAATGTTATGTTCTAATCCATAGAAGAGAGACAAACAATTCGGGAAAAAGCTGCGCATGCCCTAGAAAAAGGGATGATAAGGGTGAGACGCGGTAACGCGTCTCAATGTCCAACGAGGTGCGCAAAGTGAGACGCGTTACCGCGTCTCAATGTCGTCAATGTGTTAAACGGAAGCCGAACCGCTCTGCAGTATGCGCTGCGGACTCGTCCTTTGGCCGCGTCTGCGCGTCTTCTTCCACCCGCGATGAGCCTGGGAGACAGCCGGTACCAAGATGTAGTTCATTTTATGTACGAGTTAGTCAATGGCATACACCGAAAAATAGCCACCGAGAAATTTGGGTCTCGCGAGAAAGTGGAGGCGCAGCTCTGTCGCGACTCGTATTGCTAAGACCTTGCCTTGTGCCTTCGCTGCCACACTGTCATCCGTGGCACACGTAGCGCCTATACCTGGCTCGCCGTACGACGTGCTCTCTGGTGTTTTCCCTCTACCTCGCCAGAACTGCTATCACTCCGTTATATACGAGCGACCGATCTAAAAGTGAAATTATGGTGCTTTTGCGTTTTTCCCATTCACGATCTTTTTCGCATTTCTTGTCTAATTTTCAACACACACACACATCGAACCGATCCCGACCTAGGCCCACGGCTGAGTCAAGTACATTAGGTGCTATTTGACCTGATAGGAGCAACTTTTGAAAGCTCCCTCAATATGGCCCATTTTTGAAGGTCAACTGTGGCATGCGGTGAAGAAAGTGCGTGGCTGACATAGATTCTGATGATCAACGAGAATGAAAAAGAACTGGGCAAGGGAGACGCAGGCAGGGAGAGGCTGCCAGTGGAGCTGAAACTGGCAGCGTTGGGGGCATTAATCGCCATTCTTGAATCACCTTCCACCGCAGTAATGAAGCCGATCGTCTTCTCTAGCATTAGATGGCCTCTAGCTCGCTTGACAAACTCTGCGAGCAAAATGTGGCTTCAATCTTTTTACAGTAAATACCAGGAAGTTTTTGTGAAATATGAAATCACAAAGTCAAAGGAGAGTTTGCTAATTGCACTTGAACGAGTTTTGCTTCAGGTATTCCCACCTGATGCGCATCTCCAAGACACCTTGGATTTATACTTCCAACTCTGTTCAATTGAAACAAATTGCGACACCATGGCTGTTATGGCGGCGACGCTGGCCAACGGCGGAGTGAATCCAATGAACGGCGAGAGGGTCATCAACAATCGGTATCGTTTCTAGAGTTAGGGATGGTATGAAGGACTTCACAAAATTCAAGGGAACCAAGATGTCCAACTTACCCAACCCAACAATGAGTCTGTCGGCCATCAAGTTTTATCTTTCTAACGTCCCTCGTGATATTAAATGTGCGGAATAGTGACACTCAAGAAGGTCGACATGTGAGACCCAAATTTCACACTCACAAAAACCACTGGAGCTCTTCCTTTGATCCCGTAATTCACTAGATGTGGAAATAATTTGAATCCACCGTGAACTCTATCTGGGCATTTTAAAAAGGGTGGACGGTAAATGGAAAATGTTTCTGGTTTCCCTTGATGTAGTGTTCGACTAGCAAACACTGTAAAGCAACGGCAAAGTAAAGCGATGCAAATGAACCTATTTCCCTTTTTATTGTGGTGTACCGACAGCATGGACGCCTTCAGCAGGTCCTTTTTTACAGAACTCTTTTTCTTCTTTTCTTTCTCTTCTTTTTTTCTGGCCACCCTGTCGCACTTCGAATATCTTTCAGAGGCCATTCATGACCGTACCAAAAAACTTTCGAATAACTGGATTTTCCTTAGTATTACAGAGCTTGCCGCGACACGCTTTCGTTAATGTACTCATGTGGAATGTACGATTGGTCGGGGCAATTTGCATTCAGGGTAAGGATTTTTCTTCTACTATGATGTTCATCGATTGTTCAGTGCCGTGCCGAGTTTCACTGAATTTTTTTCCAATTTTTATTAGACCTTTGAAAATGACCTCCCGGCTTCTTTTCTCTTTCATTCCTTTGGTCGATATTCATTGCATGCTCCTCTGCATGAAAATTTGTACGTCACATCAAGGTTTATTCGTCTTTCCCCTGTGTCTTTATTTCGCCAATCCCAACTCACTGATGAGCTCCGGGGATTGACGAAATAATAAGGTTCGTCTGAGGAAGGAGCGAAACGAACCGTTTTAATTATTTTGTTTATAATGGTTTTTTCTTTCTTAATTGTACAACTTCGTATAATGTATGCTATACTATTTTATTTCTCCTACCAACGAACGTG